AGAGGGCGAGGGGGGGGGGGCTGACAGCATGAGGGATTGCGGCTCACATGGAGAACTCGACTGAAATGGAGAACAGAGGGGGGGCACTGGGGGAGGGAAAGGGAAAGGGGGGAGGGGATGTGTGTTAGGTGGAGACAGTGAAAAGGGGGATGCTAGTGAGGGAAAAGACAGACAAGGATAAAGCTTGTGCTGTGAGCTGAGCAATGATATAGTGACTGTGTTTAAGCCTTATCTATCCCTATGTGTGGAAGGCATTACAGTTAATGTACAGCGCTACACTATTGGTTAGGTTGTTCACCCTTACCTACACCACTTCATATATTGTGTGTTGTGTCTGCACAGCACACAATTTCAACATTGCCTGTGCAGAAATGAGAATGATTATGTATGCAGTGAAAGCCCAGCTGGATACCCTGAATATTTCATAGTATGTGTTGCTCACTCCGTCTCTCAATGCCACACAGCCCAGCTAGGGTGATGCATAATGGTGTGATTTTTAAGAGCTGTGGACCTTAAGCTACCTTACTAACCAAAAAAGGGGAATTCTAGTATCATTGCTTACAGCATTCTGTAAAATCCTGTAAGTTGTTGACTTATTCTTAATGGTATTTTTAAAGGGTGATGGTTGGTTTGTGAGTGGAGGACTTTTAAACTCTTCTTACCTGTGTACATGTCATATGGTCAATTTCTTTGCAGTATGTTAACTCATCTCAACAGCTGCTATAATACCACTAGGCCACTAGACTGTGCATGAATGCAATTCTGGGTAATCACAGCTTAATTGGAGTAATTAGGAGAATGTAAGGGCATTAGGCTACAGCTGGGGGCCATAATGAGGAGTTAGGGCAGAAGGGAGGGGGGAGAGGTGAGAAGCTTCAGGCACCACGGTTGCCCTCTTTAACTGTAGGTCAGTTCTGTTTCTTAGTGAACGGACAGTGAAGATCAGTGCCACACATGACTGTATACAAACAGATCTGTGAGTGGGATGGCCTCATTTTTTCAGTACACTTTTTGTAGGCCTTCACAGTTTAGGCAGAGTATCCAAGTAATTGTGTAGATTCTGTAGGAACTAAACATACTTCTGACCATTGGTCATTAAAAAAAACTATGGGTTAGTTGACTAAGAAGATCAGAGGTTGTTTGTGAATGACTAAACGGAAAGAAAAATAGGAGTGAAAGAGATGGGCGAATCAGGGTCATTAGTTCAGGCGGCTGGGTCTGCTGCATTCCTGAGCCCTGAGATGGGGGAGCAGTGGA